TAATTTTTGTTATAATGTTTAAACCAAAATTTGGTGTTTTCAGTTACAGTTATATTGTTATTTTTTAATTTATAATAAATATTTATAAAACGAACGGGCATGAATTTCCTTTCTCTATTTTTTATAATATTTACACAAAAAGTGTTATATTTACTAAGCAGGTATACCTGTGGAATAATACCAATTTGTTGTTGCTACTAATGCAAGCATTTAATATTAAATATAACTTAGTTACAGTACAAAACAAATTTATATTATATCAACTATTAAATTCTTTAAATGTACCTTTTTTCATGTAATTAAAAAATAAATTCCTGCATGATACAATGTTTGTTGCGATAAATAGCAAGTGCAGTTGTTACAACTTAGACGCTGCTAAAATTACAGACTAATGTGATTGCATTAAATATCAATTATTTGTATGAAAAAAAACTAATTTCGATGCACTTAAACTTGTTGGTTGGAGCTACCAATATTGGCTGTTCCGACAACAAACTGTAAAAACAAATTTCTATTAGTTCCCACAACATATTTTTTTGTTGTGCCTATTTTCACTAATAAAATTGGTTCTGGGAACTAAATTTTCATTGCAAATACCAGGTCTTTTCTAAGAGTGTACCCATGGGTATTTTTTTATATTAAAGAAAAGTTTACGAGTATAATACTTTTATGCATACCCATGGGTATTTTTTTATATTAAAGAAAAGTTTTGTAAATAAAATTAAAAAAAAAACTGCGGTTCTCAAAATATTTGAAATAAAACTAAACCTTTCTAATTCAAAAAATCGTTATAACTTTGTTATTCCAAAGTATATTCTGAGTTAGGTACCATCACTATCTTTTGTTTTTATAATGGCCGTCATAACTTAGACCCAGTTGTATAAAAGTCCGATTAACCACAGATTAATAAAATTTTGTTGTGCAACACTCGGTTATGTTTTAATTAGTTAATTTTCAAATTTAGGGGAATTCACTAAAAAAATCCCCAAATTTTCGTATTTGTCATGTCATAATTTTCGTAATTGTCAAATTGACCATATTCTCCTCGAATTCATATTAATAATTTTTGTTGTTTACGAAGATTTTAGTATATTGGTATTTATTTATTTATTGCATACATTAATGTGCAATGTACAATTATTGTAAGTAGCTTTAATTATATTTCTTCTTGCAGGTGTGTTTTATGTTTTTGGTTAATGGTTTTAATATTTTGTACAAATTGTACAAAAAAATGGCTTTAGCAATAGCTTGTTGGTCAAAAATGAAAGATTGTGGTAAAAGGGTCGCTTTAGTGGAAAAGAATCTTGGCTATTGCTTTAAATAGGTAAATATAAAAACCTGTAGAATGCAAAATGAACCCGTTACCAAAAATCGTAAAGTTAATTTAATCATTTGCCTAAAAGAAAGCGCTTATTTTGTATTATTAGTTCTTAAAGAAATTATGGCTGATATTTCTTTATTTTAAAAAGTTATTATATTTTTTGAAAGACGAAATCTGTTTCTGTATTCTTTTATATTTAAATCTGTAAAACATTCAGGTCTAGCACGAAAGTTTCGGTTTTATAGGAAAAATAACAATTTCTACTAATTATAAAAAAATCTGCATCATCCGTTAAATGTTCTACCATTTTAATGCTAACCACAGATAAATACTTACAAAAAAAGAATGAAAATTTTTAATCGTTGACATTTATAAGGTTATGTGTGTTCTAACCCGCAGTTAACCACACAAAATTCACCGATCTGTCAATTGTATGTTGATCACTTAATTCAATTTAAATCAATGTTTATACAACTTAAAAGTTAGCTTAATTATTACATAATTATTATCCAGAGTTAACCAGCTGTTAAAAACTGTTATACAACTGGGCCTTAGTAGTTTGATAGTTGACTTTTTTTTCTATCTAACGATGTAAAGTTCCAATATGGCAGCCATAGAAAAAACAAAATATGGTGGTATCTCAAAATCCAGCAGGCAAAAAAATCACATTTTGGATAAAAATTTGAATGGATATTTGATTTGATAATTATTTGAAAACCGCTGATTTTTTTTCCAATTCTTAGATGCCATTTTAATTAACTTGTTATTACCCAACTTTTGTCTAATTTAACCGACCTTGTAGCTCTTTAAACAAAAAAGTTTCCTGCCAAACTATAAAAAACTCCAGGTATTTTTTTTAGTACGAAAATTAATAAGAGGATGAAGAAGAACATACTATATACATCGTTAAGATTTTCTCAGTGTTACCAACATTTGCAAAAAGCTAATTTTATAACTAAATAATGCATGAAAGTTTCCTTTAATGAGAGCCAAATAGTTCCTAACCATTAAACAATATTTAATTATTAAATTCCCAAACGTTCCAAACAAAACTTGGCATGTTTTTTGTTTTCTCTAGCGGTTGGCAATACTTCGGGGACGATTTAATCATTTAGTAGGCCTCAACAACTTCCCTAATTTAATAAGTTAATAGACAATTTTGATGGGAAATTTGCTCACTTCTCGCTCTTCTGTCTAATTTTCAACGCCGTGAGTTCTTGCGAAAATGTTGTGTACGAAACGATTTTTTGTTGATAGTACGAGACAAAGGTCTTTGTGCGCAAAGTTTGCAGAAGCTTGACAAAATTTAGTTTATTACACACCTATTTGTAATGGTCGTATGCAAAAAATATTATTAAACATTTTATTACGAGAACACTGTTTAAAATATCTGTGGTGTAAAGAGTAATCTTAAAATGGTGTCAAAATCCAACACCAAAACGGTGTTTATCTGAAAATATTTGAGAAGTGCACTTACACAGAAAAACAGGAATAGTTCATTTAATTATATTAATTTAGTTGACCCATATGTATTTATTTAAATCAACTGTGGGAAGGTTAATATAAACAAAGATTAGTTTGACGGTACTAAACCAGATAGTTATTTTATTTTTTTAAATTGGTTAAATTAATCCATAAAACTTTAGTGAAACCATCCCGCTGAATGGTTCAGTATACTAAATATGTTGTTTGTAAAAATATGAGTTACTTCAACCTAAAGCACTCTGTTAAAACAATTAAAACAATTTGCCGTGCATTCCTGGTTGCAAAGTGTGTACCGATCGCGGCAAAGGCGGTGTGGATCATGTGATGTTCTTAAATCTCGCCTCTGTTGACTTACATGAAGAGTATATAAGCTCAGGTAGTCCTTTGCTTTGGTGTGACACTGCAAGTTGTTCGATACTAAAGAGACCTTAAATAGGTGGAAACAGCTGTCAATACTTGAAGTATTTTAAGTTGGTGGAACGCACAAAAACCTTATCTCTAGCGAGTTGAAGGTTCAATTTTCTGGAATAATACCACTGGTAATATACTTGTAATGCGTCAAGGAACTTCCTGTTTCCTTTTTTTCTGTGTAGTATGATTTAATTTGACCAAAAACACATAATATTTAACACTGAAAAGGAGTTTAATTTACACCAGGTAAAATTTATTTTAATACTATGTGAAAGTTAAATTTACAATATTTTAGTATTTGAATTTACACTGGACCAACGAACCACATTTAACACCATTTTGGTTTGTATCGATATAGACCATGTATTACGTGTTAATTTGGTGTTAAAATGGTCATGAAATTTTAAACAGTGTAGTATTTTATTGTTGATACATCTTTAGAAAATAAAACTTAAAATTTAAAAAACCTAAATTTATGATATTTTCAAAAAAAATTATATCACAAAATCTAGATGTGATGATTAAAATCATCATATTTGTTATTTAATTTTTTGAAGGAGGATTTCGTTGCAGACCAGTGTAATTTTATATCCTTTTATATAAATAAAGAGCTACTTAACAACTCAAACCTACTATGATGCGCCATTTTCTGGACACCCTGTATACTAAATATAAGTAAGTCATGTAAAATTAAATTTTTGGCGAAATAAAATATACGTTTCATTCTTACAATCCAACCAAATAACCCAGTAAAGATAGATAGATAGCATAGTACAGGGTTATTTGGTGGAAGAATCTGTATACTCTGTTTTAAAATAGTATAAGAAAATTATATTTTGTTTCAGAACGTGATATATTACGAGCGCTTTAATATCAAATCCGGTCTTGTTCATTTCAATCAATAAGATTGGCTATTTTGCCGTTTCCTCCATATTTCTTTAGCTCACTTTCAAACAAGCTTAACATTTTTGTGGTTTTAACAATCATAAACATTAAATATTGTATACCAAAGTTTGAGTCTTAAGTTGCTTTTTCATAATAACTATGTTATAATATTACGTAGGGCTGAGTTTCAAAAATTAAAATTAAAACTGGGTGTGCAAAGTTACCCCCTGGTTGCGGGTAACTTTGTCTCACAGTGTATTTTTCGTATAAAAGTAACTCGATATTTTATTTTATCTTTATTAGACAGGGACATATAGCGATTGCAAAGGATTACCGATTAAAATTTCTAAAGGATTGCGCCTAATATAGAAATTGTACCCCGTGTATTTCTAAGAGTTCTGTACTGATGCAATATAAACAATTTTAAAGTGTAATAAATCCCATTTATTTCTTTAAAACACTGTAATATAAACTCAATAGAATCGCTCAATTGACAGGTTTATACCAACAAATTATAAATGTTAATTTTATCGAGCGCGAAAAATTTTTACGGTACTTTATATCTGGTTTCAAAAGTCCAGGTTTTTGTTGCTAATTTTTTGAAGATTGTTACAAAACATAATGTATTTATTTAAAATTAATGTCACAAAATATCAATTTAACAGTTTTCGTTTATTCCACTTGAAAATTTAATTAAACTTGTTTCCTTAGATTAGAAAAACTAAAATACCTCCTTAACTTGTTTATCGTACACCCTATATATAATTCCATTATGTACTATATCTTTAAAAGTCTTTGTTTGAATATATATTTTTTTAAATTGTTTTATGTATTTCACAAAAGACATCATACATGTTAAAGTGTTGCTCATATAAGGAGCTATTGTTTGTAATCTTACCGGTATGGAGGCTTTCTCCTCGGCGGTGGTTCCCCCATTTCGAGGGGGCACCTGTCCGGCTTTGGCCACCAAACCGACCGGAACTCGCACCGTCGGACTGAACCGCTTCCACTCGCACGTGCTCACCTCCGTCACGGCCGCCGCTTCCCCCACCACAACAACTATGATAACGCCAACACTGAACCACCAAAAATCACCAAATCAACCAACGACATCCGATGCTATTTAATGAGTCTTAATTTTGATTATACTCGAATATACTCACAAGCGTTATAGTTTAATGGACTCTAATGGACTTAGAGTCGAATAAATAAACATTGAATTATGATTTTTAGGATTATTTTGTATTTTTGTAGTGTAATATTTTGTTTTTATTGCGCATTGGCGTGATTATTTCCGGCCGCGTAAAAAAATTAGCACTTGTCGCCGGTAAGAGTTTTTCGGCACTGCATGTCGAACGACGCTATCGAACGACGCCGGCGTCACGGCGCATGTCCAGGCGCCGACTCCGTCGCGGCGCCTACCTGCTGCTCCATGGCGCGCGCTCTCATAACGTATTTGTATCGTTTTTTCTCTCATTTCATAAAACCTGCCGTTCGTTCTCTTTTTCTCCTCCGCTTCTTCTCCTGCATGCTTCTCGTTATTGTTGTCTACGCAAATAATGATGATGATGATGATGATGCACTTTTTGCTCGCTTGAGGCCACATTAACATATCTAATTGGGGCTTTTTTATACCGGGTAGATTCAAAATTATAAATTTGATCAAGTATCTTTCTTTGTAGATTTTCATATCACGTCTGTTAAAAATATCATTATGATCTGTCAAATAATGCGAGTTATTCTCACTAGTAATACCACTAGAGGTCAAATTATTTCCGGAAATTTTTTCGAGCTCATGAATATTTTGAAAATTATCCCGAGTCGAAGACGAGGGATAATTTTCTAAAAATATTCACGAGGGAGAAAAAATTTCCGGATTTAATTTGACCTCGTATGGTATTCGGTAAGAAAATTCCACACCAAATTGTGTTTAAATAATTAAAATTTATTTTTTGATTTAACTTGACCTCGACTTGATTATTTAGTTACCATGGCAACTAAGTCAACCCCAACCTAAAAGTTATTTCAGTTTTGAAGCTGTCAAGCGGCACGACGTAAAAAAATGTGAAATTGTCTGCTGTAATGATCAATCATCGTGCAATGACTTATTTACCCGCATTATTAGAGGATTGTGGCTCCTACTTGAAGAAAGAAAATTTGTTTTGAATTGTTCACGAATATTTGCATCTTAACTATTCAAAACTCAAAGTGCTAAATGGAAAAAAGGTGAATAGAATAGTGTCTAAATATTATATATATTTCATTAGACATAGACATTTAATTTATTTCAAGTCCTGCATTTTCGCCATTAAGAAGAAAGGAGGTGTCCAACGAATATAGAAAACATAATATGTTTTCTATATTCGTTGGACACCTCCTTTCTTCTTAATGGCGAAAATATTATGGAAATGTATCAAAATTATCATGTAAACAAATAAAAACCAGATTGTCATAAAAATATTCTGTCATTATAAACGTCAAAAAATTTCCAGTATAATTCGCTGTTGGGTACCCACGAGGAAAAAATTTCCACTAAAATTCAACCGTTGCCATGGTGATCTATCAAAAATACACGTTTTGATTGGTTAAAAATTACAGGTGTGGAATTTTCATTTAAGTTTAATTACTTTTGCGGTTGCGTTGTCTTTTTACCATGAAAGAAATGGTGTAATAATTTTTGTGTTTTTACCGAAATGTTTGGGGAATGGAATGCTTAGAATGTTGCCGAAAGCATTTTGGCGATACTTGTCCAAAACTCGTGCAAACGAATGTTACAAAAATCAACACATCGATGGAAATATTATTTGGTTTTATCCGCGTTAAATTGGGATTATACATGGGTCGTTTTCAAAAAACACCCGCCTTCCGCTGTCCGTAAGTTTGAATTTCAATAACTTTGTTAAAAAGTATCGCATCTTATTGATTTAAAAACCAAGTGAAAGCCTAACAAGCCCTTAGTAAACTCTTTCAGAAAATTTTTGTTTAGTTATTTCAGAATAATTTTTTTTTAATTTTGAAACTTGTGAAACACACATTTTCGCATGTCCCATTAGCGTTTTATAAAACTTACATACATGTTTTTTTTTTAATATTGAATAACCAGAACTTTGTGTTGCTTTATAGCTTAGTTAATAAAGTAAACAATTTACATACAAATTAATTAATTTTAATCTACTTTTTTTAAATTTGACTCATATCCCAGACATTTTTTCCGTTGCGTTACGTCCGTCGCGTTACCGATAGAATATTTAAAAAAAAACATATATATGGCAACTTTTTTGGCACTCACGTGATTAACAAATGAGGTTCGGACGTACACATTACCCAGCTGAATTTATTTATTGAATCAGGAAGAAGATATCGGTTGAAACAGGTGCGGGTAACGCGAATGTAATAATTGTTTGTCCGCTAAGTTACTCAAAAAAATAATAAAAATAAGGTAAGAAAAAATACTATTTTTCATGTTTATGTTTATTTTAGGACACTAAAGCTCATTGAGAGTAATTAATGACTATAATGTTTTATTATTATTTTTTAAATATGGTTTCACAAAACTTTGTCCACTGCGTTACCGAGTCCATTACGTTACTTTATGGTAACGCAATGGAATTTAGGGTAACGCAATAGAATTTTTCGACAACAAAGTCGATATTTACCTTCGCTTTTATTAAAAGTAGTTTATGATAAACCAATTTAAAATTATTTGTGATTACAACTTATGATATAGATTACATTCAAGGGAAAATTCCACACAATATACAAGTACTAAAAGACACCAGCTTATAGTCAAAGAAAAAGCGTGTCTATAACTTAGAAATCTAAGTTGTTATTCTGCAAGTGAGCACCACTACAAGGGATTTTGTTTATGCATTACTCTAAATTCGTACCACCCTATATAGTTTATTTTTTACGTTATCTGATTAAGTCCTTTGTGTACCCAGTCCGTTGTGATACCAATGTCTATTTCGTTACTTTTTTAAGTACATTTTATTTCAAATTATTTTTGTAACAACTTGTTTTACTGAATAAAATTTTGGATTTTAAATTGGTAACACAGTGGAGACATATAAAGCTAGCTAAACACATTTTTCTGATAAAAACGTAAAAAAAATTAAAAAGTGCACTGCCTGTCTTAAATGTAAGTAAACAAAACTCTAAAAATTTATAAAAATCCAACCAAAAGTCAATTTAAGCAAAAAAAAATTTTGATCTTCATTTTCCTGAAAGCGGGTGTTTTTGAAAATGACCCACATATGTATCTGTTTCAAACACATTATGAGTACATATTCAAAAATTGCATCTCATTAACTATAAATACAATCCGGAAATTTTGTGGAAAAAAAAGGACCAATCACTAAAAAAACCGCTCGTCCCCACTGCCCCCGCCTATGCAGTCGCTTTGGGAAGTACATGGATATTTAAGCCTATTGGTACCTTCCTCAATATTCACAAAGATAGCGTTCGAAAAAAACTGTGATTTGAAACGGAAGTTATATGGTCTAAGTCCCGAATAAAGGGTTATAGCATTAGGTATTCGGTATACGCAGTAAAAAAATATTTGTTAAATTTAACCAAATAATAACCAGATTTTATGTTAATCCAGGTCCGCATAACTTTTTGTTAAGTTTACAACCAACTGTAATCTGTTAACTAATTAAATAAGTAGTTTGTAATTATTACAGATATTTTGTAGATTTAATAACAAAATTGAAATATGAAAAAAAAATTTAAGAAACAAAAATAATAATTATCCTTTACGAGATCAAGGAACTTATAAAAAAGGCTGAAGCTACTCTCTAAAAATGAATAAGTCACAAATGACTATTTAATAGTTATTAGTGGCTGCTTTTTCACTTGTGTCATGGTTAACCGTGGTATCCCAAAATTTAACACCCACATCGTATGTAAAATTGTCCCCTCAATCCGAATATACCATCAAAAATTATGAAAATGGAGCAGTTTTTGAGGTATAGTCAATTCCATATTAAATGGACAATTGACTATATCTTAAAAACAGTTCTACTTTTTTAACTTTTGACGACATTTTTGGATTTAGGGGGCAATTTTACATAAGAATTAGCTGTTAAATTGTAGGATATCATGGTATTCCCTGGTTAACCATGGTACAAGTGAAAAAGCATCCACTAAAGTATAAAGATCGTCCGAAAACAAAAAAAATGTATTATGTCCAATGTTCAGGGCTTAATCTTGTAATAGATATATCTATTACAAGATTAAGCCCTGAACATTGGACATAATACATTGTTTTTGTTTGGAATATTTCATTGAGATTTTTAAACCACATTTTTAGGTTAGGTTTAACTCATATGATACTGTTATAGCTTCATTTTAGTACGAGTTTTATAATAATTTGACTATAGTATTAATAAGAGGTATTTCTAAAAAATTATTGTATACAATAGTATATATATATTGTATAGGCTTTGGTTTTGTTTATATATTAAATTTTACGCCTAAAGCGTTTAATATTAACTAAATAAATTTAAATTTTTCGGTTAAATTACAAAATATTTAGTGCTGCCATGTGTTAAATCTTGACCATTATTTGTGCACAGGACCATATTAAACAAAACATCAAAAAACATCATAAAGTAACCAAAAGAACAAAATAAACTCGTTCGTTTATATTTAGAATGTTAATTTAATTATCTTTGTTCGAGTTTGACTTTTAGACGTCTCTAGAAACGTCTTTTGATGTTTTTACGTAATATTTACTTAATTTGCCATTGAAAAAGAATGAAAAAACAAAAATGCTGGGACCTCGTCTGTCAACGATAATTATATTGCGACCTCCGGCACACACTCCTGCAAGAGTAATTATGTGACGTTTCGTACGTCGTTTCGCAGATAAAAAATAAACAAAAGTTGACACACAAGTGTGCCGGGCCGCTTTTGTTTAAGGCCACTTTTGACAAAGGTACGTCGCGACGCGTCGCCCAAATGTGACGCATAATTTATGTGTTCGTGTTTAGGTGTGTTTCGTTTTAATGGTTTTTAATAAATTGTTTTAAATGTATTTTTTTTTAATTAAATTCATTTCATTTTAAGCAACCACCTTGAAGGTGTTTGATCTATCCCCATTATTTAAAAAGATTCAGAGGATACATATTTTTTGTACTATGCTCCATACCTCAAAGTCCCACAACGTAACCACGTACGAAACGCAGTCTTTTAAAAATTTGGCATTTAAGGCTTTTCAGGTTATGTATCTGTCAAAGTATAGTCAACGAAAGAAATAATATTATGTTTAGGCGTTAAAAATGTATAAATCTTTATAACATTACAATAACAATGGATGGTTTAAGAATTTAAGAATATAAATACTGCATTTAATGAAAGTGTGAAAGTGTATGGTGCCAAATAAGTATTTTTTGTGCATTTGGTCCAAATATCTGGTTTTCTTCATAAAATAATTTTAACTAAACAGCATTTATTAAAAAAAATGTAGCTTCTCTATTATGGAATAAGAATATCTGTATTAAAGGTAGGTTAATATATTATAACAAAAATATCATCTAATTTAAAAAAAATTATTTTGACCAAAATAAATAAGTATTTTGGATTATTTAAAAGACAGTATAATATGGTATT